CAAGACTTGCTCAATATGGTTCAGCAAAGGGCACTGAGGTGTTACTTTCTTCAACACTGGGTTCAAGACCCAGCCCTACCAGGAACTCCAAGCTCCCCGCATTTTAATTTCATCTCCTACGTTAGTTGTTGGCAAGCTGAGAGACAAGGGTAGCCGCGTTCATAGGGTATCTGGTTTCCCCTTAGGTTGTTTTCCTCCTACAAGGAAGGAGTAGCCGGGGCCAGTCGGAAGGTCAGCACTATCCGTAAATGTGTAGAATTTAAGGATTTGGGAGAAAGATTGTTAATTAGCCTGAGCTTACATCTGCGACATTTAAAAGCAAAAACCTTGACAGGACCGTGGTGGAAAAAGGTGGCATCCTGTGGCAGTAGGTGGGAAGGCAAGGTCCGGTCAGGTAAAGGAAATGGTGCTAACGGAGCAGCAGACCGGACCGTTCTGGGAAGAACTTGGGAATTTTGGAGTCAGAGTTGTGTTTTTGCAGTTAGTTGTCCGGCAACCGTTTTCTCAAACAAGATATGAGTTCACGAGCATCACCTGTTGGCTCCGAGCGTGATAACAGCTTTTTTCAGAGACGTTTTGACAACGCTCCAGTAGGGGTCAGCGATGAGGTGGCTATAAGTTCCCGAGTATCCTGTTATTCCGTGAGCTTTAACTGATAAAGAAAAGATGAGACAAAAGTAGGTAGTGGGAAGAGTCGGTAATGAATATCAGTAAACTCCTGAGTGTGCGAAAGTTTGAATTTGGAAAGGGGCAAACTTTCATTACTCTGTTGGGAGATAGAATGTCGGAGGCGCAAGATTTCCTTTAAGTCAGGTTGGGGTTCAAAAGAGACGGGGTCTCGCTATGTTGCCCAGGCTGGAGTGCAGTGGCTATTCACAGGCGCGATCCCACTACTGATCAGCACGGGAGTTTTGACCTGCTCCGTTTCCGACCTGGGCCGGTTCACCCCTCCTTAGGCAACCTGGTGGTCCCCCGCTCCCGGGAGGTCACCATATTGATGCCGAACTTAGTGCGGACACCCGATCGGCATAGCGCACTACAGCCCAGAACTCCTGGGCTCAAGCGATCCTCCTGCCTCAGCCTCCCGAGTAGCTGGGACTACAGGCGCGCGCCACCGCGCCCGGCGGACGGAGGCGGCGCGAAAACGCACTAGAGGCTGAGCTGTGGTGACGTCACGCAGGGGCGGAGCGAAGTCTGGGTTCTAGCGGAATAAACATGCCCAGCCTGAAGCGGTCTGGAGGCAGAGTCAGCATAACCTCGGGGCTGTTTAGAGGTCTTTCCTTATTAGATAGCGAAGGTGGAATGCTGCTGACGTTGTGTCTGCCACTTTTGGTGTTTTGCTCCGAACTCGTGTTCTTCTATAACAGAAATTGGTCAGCATGCGCTTCATGCTCGCAGATAAGGTGTCTGGACACTTACCGAACGGTAAGGGAAACGCAATAACCTAGTTCGTCGACATTGCCTTCCTTCATCAGTCTTTAAATACGTGCTCCATCTTATGGGGGACGTTATTTACGAGGGAACCATCTGTCCCTAAATCTCTCAGGGTCCACAGCAAGGATTTAAGAAGTGCCTTCGCTGTGCGAAGGAGTATAATCCCTGGTAGCGGAGTTTAGGGGTCAGCAAAAGTGATTGGGGGCTAGCTCAGTCTTCACTATTGGAACGTAGAGAGCCTGGGGGAACCGTTTGTTTTCGCTTGCCTCGCCTGTTCGTTGTGTGTTCTTTTTGGAGAAAAATCTAGTGCCTGGGTAGACTGGTACAAGAATTAGGATTTGGCAACCTGAGGTCGTTTTTGGAACAAGTTTAGGAAGGGATAGAGGAAGGAAAAAAGAATTTTTAACCATTACAGATCTGCGATCAGCTGACTTTATTTGTCTCCTATCAGCAATCTTTCCCGTACTCCTTTTCTCTCAGAAACTAATCTAAACTTTCTCCTGCACCTCTTGCCTTGAAGCAGATAACTTTGCTCCCTTCATACATAAATTAAAGGCCACCAGAAAAAACTCTTTCAACTTCTTGCTACTCACCCCTTCTCTAAGTTTATCTTTACATCTTCAAGGAAGGGCAATTCGGATGTCCCTATCTCAAACTAAGTGGGTCAAAATTTTTCCATCAATCATCTGCACGCCCATCCCATCTCTATTTCCTTGTAATTCCCTCCTAAACCTTCTGTTCTCATGCTCTTCATGAGTGATCTCATCAATGCTGAAGGCTCTCAAATCTATATAGCTCTAATCTGATGCGTTTTCCAGAGCTACAGATGCAAATTTTTAGCTGTCTACCGAATGTCTTCTTGAAATTATTAAAAACTTCAAATTCAACATGTGTAAAGAAAACTGATCACTTCTTCCAAGGTTACCTAACTTCCTATATTTTCTCTCTCTACCAATATATTTAGTTGGTTACTTCAGAACTCTCTAATTCATCCTTGACCACTATTTTATTCATTTACCATGAAATATTTTTTGTCTGTCCAATGCCAGGCACTGTGCTAGGTGATGGAGATGTGGTGATGAAGAAGAGACATGTGGGAGAGACAAACAAAAACAGAAAAAATTATAATTACAAGCTATGATAAGGACCATAAAGGAGACAAAGTGCTAAGGTAAAAACAATGGAGGCAGGAAGGAGGGAGGAGGAGACCAACTTTAGAGAAAATAATCAAGTAAGGAGTCCTTGAGGAAGTGTCATTTAAACTGGGGTCTCAAGAATGAGGCATCCGTTAGGGTACTTTGATTGCAAGCAATAAGGACTGTCTGTAAACCGAAGTAAACAAACTCCTCTTAAGAAGGAATTAATAGGACAGAAATGGCAGAATGATATATGATCCTTAAAGTCTGTTCTCTTTTACTACATTAATAAATTTTAGTTGGACACATGAGGCCCCAATTACAGACCACATTTTCCAGTTTCTCTTACAGCCAAGTGTGGTCAAATTCTCACCAAAGGAATATGAATAAAAATGATATGTACAGCCTTTGTATCATTTTCTTAAAAGTAAATCAGTTGTCTTCCACTTCTGTTCTTTTGCTCTTCCCCAAAGCTAGATGGTGCCAGGGCAGACTCACAGCAGTGCACCAGCTTTCACCATGCAAATGAGTAAAATATCGTAGGGTGTGGCGGAGCATCAAGAGGAAAGAAACCAGGGTCCCTGGATGACTTAATGGAGCTGAGACACCCTTCCAGCCTAGGCCACTCCTACTTCTGGACTATTTCATAAGAAATAAACTTCTATCTCATTTAAATTGCTATATTTGGAGGACTCTTTCTTATTGCGGCAAACTCTTTAATGGACATAGAGAAGCTCACAGAGGAAAACCCTGCCTAACCAGAACTCAGGGCAGGAACCAAAAGAACCCTAGCCATCTCCAGGGCACCCTAAAGGGATGAATCAGGCTCGAACTCCTGTAAGAGAAGTCTGATTTTCTAGTCTGAGTCCTGTATCTTTCTACAATCTCCATTTATATTCGCATCCATTTTTTATTATGATTATGTTTAATAAATAAAACTTATGTTCTGCTTTTCTCATATGTCACTATACTTTTAGTGGCAGTATATGTCTCTCAATTTGACGCATAATTTATGATTATTTAGGTGGAACCACTGTTAATTACACTAATCACCACTTTAGTATTCTATATATTTCATCAGTACTACATTATGAATGAGTGATATGCATAATGTCTAGTGCTAAGTCAATTATTCACAAGTTCAAGTCAATTATTCACAAGTTCAAATTGGTGTTTGCTTTATTTTTTTTTTTAGATTCTGTGATATCTTCTCCAGCTTTATTGAAGTGTAATTGACAAAATTATAAGATATTTAAAGTGTACGACATGATGATTTGACATGTATACATTGTGAAAGGATTCCATCCATCAAGTTAACACCTCCATTGCCTTGCATATTTACTTTTTTTCTGAGTACATTTTTCTACTCTCTTAGCAAACTTCAATTATACAATACAGCGTTATCTACTATAATCGCCATATTATAGGCCAAATCTTCAGATCTTATTCATCTTATAACTGAAAATTTCTACCTTTTTACCAACTTCTCCATATTTCCCCACCCCTAGTCCCTGGCGACCTCTTTTCTACTCTCTGTTTCTATGAGTTTGAGGTTTTTTGTTTTGCTTTGTTTTGTTTTTTAGATTCCATGTATAAGCGACACCATAAATATTTGTTTTTCTCTGTCTGGCTTGTTTCACTTGGCGTAATGCCATCCAGGTTCATCATGTCACAAATGACAGGATTTCCTTCTTTTTAAAGGCAGAATAATATATATGTGTATATATTTATGTGTTTTCTTGATGCATTCATCCATAGTTGTACACTTAGGTTGTTTCTATACCTTGGCTGTTGTGAATAATGTTGCAATAGCCATGGACGTAAATATATCTCTTCCTTTGGCTATATATTCAGAAGTGGGATTGCTGGAGCCTATGGTATTTCTATTTTGAATTTCTTGAAGAATCTCCATACCGATTTCCATAGTGGCTGAACCAGTTTACATTCCAATTAACAATGTACAAGAATTCCCTTTTCTCCACATTCTCATCAGCATTTATCTAGGTTGCTTTTTAATGATATAAAAAACAAGGTCATGCCTGGCTGTATGGAGTTTGGCTTGCTCAAAACATAAACTTAATAACTTTGAGACACTGAACATTAGATGATAAACTGCATTTATCCTAAACGGGATGTCTCAAGCCTAAAAACCTCCACTACCTGAGATCAAGACATTTATAAATTAGTCCGTTGGGAACGTTAAGAGGAAGAGCATGTGGTCAGACAGATGCTTTCTACCCTGGTGAGGGAGGAGGCTTGTCGGCAATGTGGGTCGAGGCTTTAGATCTCAGCAGCCATCAGACAGGCTCACTGGCCAAGGCTGAGGTCCGACCACACAGGCCTAAATTGCTCGGTCCCCAGACATCACCCGAAGTGGAGGCCCGAGGCGGCTGAGGAAAAGAAGGCGCAGAAGACTCAGACCAACTAGTGAAAGGGATGCGCTCTGGGGACTACTGCCAGGAGGGACAGCCAGCCTAATCCAAAGCTGTGAATAAGAGAAAGGCGCAGCAGGACTGGCAGGGGAAAAGAAGGGTGCCACCAGGATTCTTGGGGAAGATAGGGACACCGGGAGTGGCAGAATAGTGGGTTGGGGCGATGGAAGAATGAGGGTGACAGGTGTAGTCACTTGGGGAAGGAGAGGCGGGGACTCTAGAGAACAGAGAGGAAGGACCAGCAAGAAAAGAGTGGAGGCCACCAGGGGGCGAGGAGGATAAAACACGTACCATGACGTGGGTCCCCCGGATCTCGCGGTCCAGACCTGGGCTGCATCCTGCCCTGAAGACCTCCTGTCCCACCTTTTGACAGACTGCAGGTTCTCTTCCGCTCACCGCAGTGGGATCATTTGCTACTGCTGCTCAGAAGGATTTTCATTTGGCTAGGTTATTTGCATTTCATGCCCCCGTGAGCTGATCCTGACTCTATTACATGCATTAACGAGAATTAACAGTTTGACATAATAAACGTTTACTTCCAGGCCATACCCTGCGTGAAGGAAGAGATTTTGATATGGTTTAACATACAGTACTCACCAATACAGAAACTCATTTCTTGTGGCTGTTTCTTAAATACCAGAATAAATCCCAACAGTGGACAAAGTTACTTACCCAGTGCCATGTTGTTAAATCTATAAATATAAATTAAACTTATGGGGCAATTTTCTTCAGTTTGAATGTTTTGACTTTCATCTGACAGTTCTTCCAAAATGTTTTATTGTTTTAAATTTAGTAGAGCTCCATTATAGCATGGCTATTTATTACATTGACTCAGATCTGATCTGGAATAAATCACATCCCCAATCCCAAACTTCATACATTAAAATCCGATATTTAACAGGCTTTATCGGAGTATTATTCTCTCTCTTCACACCAGTGTGGCAAAAGCTTTTTGGTGTATTTAATTTAGTCGTTTTGAAAATATCAGAATGCATCAGAATGTTTCATCAGATAACGTTTGAAAGAGTGCTTCCTTCCTTTGGGGACTCCTAGTCAGGCTAATGTCACGCCCAGACAGAATAATTCACAAATTGATTTACTTTTTCTTGAATTGGCATTCTCGAGGCTAATTATTTGAACAGCTTGGCTTTTGGTAGGGAAACAAATATTTAAATTGCATTTAGCTTTCACTGACTGAGGTGAGAGAGGCTTAAGATAACATTCTTTGCTTAAATCATTCATTCACTCATCCAATAAATAATTATTGAGCACATGCTATGTGCTAAATATCCCGAAATGTTAACTATTAATTAATATTGGGGATAAAGGTTAGTTTGAGAATAAAAGGTAAACAGGAAAACAATTAATTTGCTTGACATGATACAAATAGTCTAATATATAGATTTATGTCTATTCACCTTGAATTCTGAGGAAAGGGCATAATTTATAAGAGAGGAATGACTGGAAAAGTATCTATTCTTGTATGGCCTCTGGCCTCTCATATAACTAGTATAAAAGTCCTAAGGCTTGCCCTGTGGGGAGGAGGTGAGGAGGATAATATCTTCCCCCAGCCCTCTCTCCTTACCATGAATCAATGGAAGAATATTGAGGCCTTCTGAGGTTAGAATGGCAACCTACTTTCAGTTTTCCTTTGGAGGGGGAAATTTCAAGCTTGTGCGTGTGTGTGGTTTAGACAACTTTTTAATATTGCTTGTTGGGATTTTATGATGTGATGGTTGAATTTTTAGCACCATGGATGATTTCTAGGTGGTGCTTTATTAGTACATTATGTTATCACAAATCACATGCTTAATAATTAAAAATATATTATGTTACACTATTATGTATGACAATTTAAAATAAAAATGACTCATAGTTTCCTCAGGGTTTGCTTTTAGGCCTAATGAGCCCTATTTATGTAGAGAATACTGAAGTCACAGGCTGCCTGTGCCTGTTCAAATAAGCCCCTCACTGTACAATGACAGAGCTCTAATTCATTTTGTGGCATAGCTCATTTCCCAAAGTGGGCATGGCCTAGCATGTAGAAAGGAAGAGACAAAAATCACTACACATTAGTTAACAATATTCTGTTAAAAGAGACAATCTATAGTCACCATGATGACTATAGTCACCATGTTTATCTATAAACATGAGTAAACAAGATTGCATATTACAAAAAGGGTATTTGGTAACATAGTCATCACAACTACCGTGAAGGGATAAGATTCACCTATTAAAAGACAAGAGATGCTCAGTTTGGGTTTAAAAAAAGGAAAAGAATCTCACTATGTCCTGTTTAAGACACACACACTTGAAACAAAACAAAGAGAAATGTCAAAAATAAATAAATGGAAAAAATTTTCAAAACAAATACTAACGAAAAAGCAAATATAGCTAATGCCAGACAAATAGAATTCATGCAAAAGCCTTAAGAGAGCAAGTAATATTTCATATCAATAAAAAGAACAATGGATCAAGAAGTGTATTATTCATGAAAACTTATAGGTTCAAATAATTTAAAACAAAAACTATAAAGAACAAAAAGGAATTTATAATTCTAAAAATATAAGTAAGAGATTTTAACACATTTTTTGGAATTCAAAGTATCAAATTTTCAGAAAGAAGTAAAAATAAAGATTTGAATAATGCAGTTAATACACTTGATCTAAAAACTATATATTAATCTTTCTCACCCCAAAGCAGAAAATGCATATTCCTTTTTCTTCACAAAGCTATTAATCATAAGTCTCCCATATACGCAAAATCGCAATGACCCAGGCCCGCTAGGTCCACACCCCTCTGGATGTTTGTTTCTCCTGTTCGACTCTGTGAGGTGGATCTTCATGGACAAGGGTTCCTTATTTTTCCAGCTTCTGGATGGATTTGCCCACAGGAAGACCCAGTAACGGAAGACCAAAGGCAGAAAGAGTGAGTGAGGTGAGGGTCTTTTCCTTACATCCTGACTGGCAGCTCCTGTTACACAGCTCCTGTGCCTTCTTACAGAGTTCTCCACCTCCACCTAAAGCTGCCCCTCCTCTTTCCCCTTCAAACCTAGAGATGTTGCTATCTCTTTCTTCAGTTACCCTGATTAATGCCATCAACACTTTGTCCTTGATTCATTTGCTCCCAACCTCAACACATGTACTCTTTTTTTTGGAGAGTGGGTCTGTCTTAAAGAAAATCTCAGGTTTTTCACTCCCAAAACT